AATTCCAGAATTATTTAAATTTTATTTTATTCTAATAAATTGAACGCTCGTTAAAGAAAAAAAAAATATCATATGCGTTCGGAAAATTATTTGGAAAAAAAAATCATAAATAATTTTTTTTTTAAATTTTCCAAAGTGTTTGTCTGTTTGTTTGTTTGTTTGCTCGCTCGCTCGAGTGCGAATGAATGAATATTAAAAGATTTAAAATTATGACGAGGAAAAAATTTTTAAAAATGATTTGATTTTTTTTTTCGCGTGTAAAAAAAAATAAAAAAATTTGAAATTTAATCAGGAAAAGTTTAAACCTGGAAAAATTTTTCATTTCCGGTTTGGAATTATTAAAAATAAATTTTAAGTCCTCGTAGCTCGAATAAATTTAAATAAAAATTTAATTATTTATAATAATTATTATTTAAATAAAAAAAAAAAATTATTTTATTATAAATAAACGTTCTGGAAATTTTTCCGGATTAAAAAATTTCTAAAACGTTTAAAATAATAATAATAAGATGAAAAACTCTTAAAGAAAATTTTTTTAAACGTTACGTGACGTCACGAATAAAATCCTCTAATAAATATTTATGTGTAAATTTTTTTTTTTTTATTTTACCGAAATTTAATTTTCCAAAATGTAAACAATTTTTTTTGTTTGTTTCATCTTAGGAAAAAAAAAAAATCAATTTGTTTGTTGTTTGTTGTTGTTGCTGTTGTTGTCATTTACGTTTTTTTAAATTCGATAAATATGTTTGTTTGATTTGTTTTTTTTTTTTTTTATTTAAAATTTACCACCGACTTTGAAAGTTTTTAAACAATTTATCATTTAATTGTATCTGTTTCAAAACTTTTTTTTTGTTTGTTGTTTGTTGTTTGTTTTTTTTTTTTTTGTAATTTTATTAGTAAATTTTAAAATTGAAACGTTTCCGTTTAATTTTTTTTTATCGAATTTTAAATTTTTTTTCTTTTTTTTTTTTTAAAAACGATAAAGTAACTAGAAAATGGCAATCGTTGGAAAATTTATAATCGTATAAATAAATTTTCCGGTTTTTTTCCGAAGTTGATTATGTATTACGTCACACTATAAATTCCACAGCTATCCAAAATATTCCTGGAGAACATATTTAAATAGAAGGGAGGGGAGGGGAGGAGTTAGAAGAAAAACAAAAATTATTGATCCTCCCGTTAACAATCAGATTATTTTTATTTTTTTCTTATTTTTTTTGGGGGGGGCGATTTTCCCTTCATTTTCTTTATTAATCACCTAATTTTTTTCTGCTTTATAAAAATTACTTCGGTTTCGAAAATAAGGGCCCCAATTGACCGGGAAAACTTTTAACATTTAACGAAATTTAAAATCCAAAACGTGTTTTCCCATTGTGACGTGTTTTTATGTTAAAACTTAATAATCACCAATTTCAAAAAACTTTTTTATTAATGTTAAAAAAAAAAAAAACTAAATAATAATAATGATAATAACAATAATTTAATAGTAATAATAATAATAATAATAATAAAATTCAAAAGCGACGCTGACATCTATTAGAAAACTAAAGAAAAAGTTTTTTTTTTTTTTTTAAGTTTAAAAATTTTCCGTTTTTTTTTTTTTTTGAAAAGTTTTTATTAGTTCGAGTTTTGAACAATAGATGTCACTTTTTATTTTGTTTTTCTCAACAAATTTTTTTCTTTTATTAAGAAGAAGCGGTAAATGTAAAATTTTCTGGAAAAATTTCAGAGTTTCAAAATCATCATTTTTTTGGAACTTATTTTATTATCATTATCATTATTATTTTTTTTTTTTACGGAATGATGCATTTAGGTTGATTTATTATATTTTTCAAAGCCAAAATAAAAATTAAAATGCAAATATATATATATATGAATATATAGTCGAAGGTAAGTTTTTATGTTTTATATTTGTTTTTTTTTTTTTTTATTACGTGAAAACTAAAATTTATTTAAATTTTGGAGAAAAAAATTTGGAAAAGATTACCGTTTTGTAAAAACACCCAACAGCTATTTTTTCCAAAAAAAAAAGGGGGAGGGGAAGGGAAGGGAAGGAACAAAAAAAAACAAAAATTTATCGATTGACCGATAGTATTTTATTAAATAAAAATTAAAAATTAATTAATTTTATTTTTTAAAGTTTTAATTATTATTATTTATTTTTAAAACGAAATCACGTGACGTAAACAAATTAATAAATTTTATTGAAAAAAAAAAAAATTAACATAATACGATGTAAATTTTATTAAATTAAACATAAATAAATAAAATTTTACATCGTTTGTCGTAATAATCGAATCAACAAAAAAAAAAAAAATATACTCATCGATCATCATTATCATTACACATCGAGTAAAATTTTTTTTTTTATTTCTATTGAACGACAAACAAACCAACAAACAAAACAACCTTGATTAAAATAATTTTGTCGTTTGAGATCACAGATTTAAATAAAAAAAAAAAAATTACAAATATTTCGTTTAACGATTTTGATCGCAATTGATTTTAAAAAAAATTAATTGATTAATTAATTCATTCAATCATTCAGTCATTCAATCAATCAATCATTCACACAACAATCATTTTCTACACCTTAACTACAAACAATATTATTATTTGATACCGTATTAAACGTTTAAGGGTTTTTTCCTTTAATTTTTTTTTTTGTTTTAAACAAACAGAGTCAAAAATTTAAAAAAAAAAGAGAAAGGAGGGAGGAGGAGGGGGAAAGAGAGAGGAAGAGAATGATTGATTAAAACCATCTCGGTTACGGTATTAAATTACATTCTTATCCTTTTTTTTTGTTTTGTTTTTTATTTTTCCATTAAAAATAAATAAATTTATGCAAGATTAGCGTCACGTTAAACAATTACCCGTTAAAAACAAAAACGACAAAAAATCATCATTATCATCATCATCATAATACTATATTATCATTATTATTATTTTTAGTAATTTAAAAAAAAAAAAGAACCCGATGGAAAATAACAAAAGGCGCACAAGATGGAAGAAGGACAAACTTTAGATTTTGGTAGGGAAAACAAAAAAAAAAAAAACACAGTCAGTGAACGGCGTTCGTTGTGAGACACGCGGCGTTCGTAAAAGAATTTATTTTTTTTTAAAAAACCGGTTAATAATTTTATCCGGTTGTTGTTGTTGTGGTTGTTTAAAAAAAAAAAAAAAACCGTTTGTTTGTGGTGTTTTTTTTTTCGCACGTACGATTTTTCGAAAAAATTTTAAAAAAATTTTCTTATTTTTTCTTTTTAAATTTTAAATTTTTATTTATTTATTGTGATAACAAAAAAAATTATTATTATTATTATTATTAATGTTATCAATAATCGCGTTATCACTAAAGATATTCGCGAGTATCGTAACGGGTATCACGGTTCTTATCAGGTTTTCCGGTGAAATTCCAAAAAAAAAATTTTTTTCTTTTTTAAAATTAAAATAAATTAAAAAATCTTTTTTAAAAAAAAAAAATTATTTTCGAGTAATAATAATAATAATAATAATAATTTTGGATCGAATTTTTGTCGTAATTTTTTAAAAATGGCGGTCAGTTTCCGTTTTTATAAAACTGCAGAAAAAAAAAATTTTTTTCGTGGTTAAAATTAATCGAGGATTAAAACGTAATTAAATCAATTACTGAATAAATCCATCTGTCGTTATCGATTTAATAACATCAATTAATTTTTAATTTACACTATAATTTTATACTTTAATTATTATCATTATTATTAAACAATCAATCAATCAATCAATCAATCGTTTTTTGTACTTAAAACTCTTCGGCGTTTTAATCGGCGATATCAATACCCAAATTACCGACACGTTCATTTTTTTTTTTTTTCGTTAAAAATTTTTTTTTGTCGTGTCATTAAATCGTTCCCCCTTCCTTTCCCTCTCCTCTCCCCCGTTTGTTTTTTCTCGCGATTTAAATTTATGTTTATTTTTTTTAAATTTTTTTGGCGCGAAATTTAAAAAACGTTAAAATTATTTCGTATATTTAATAAAAATTTTATTTTCCCGTCGTAAAAACATCAAAAACGTAATAATAATAATAATAATTACGTAAAATTAAGTTTTATAAAAAAAGTTATTGATTAATAATCGATAATAAAATCAAGCAGATGAAATTTTTTTATTACATATTAATAAAATAAAAAACGTAAACGACTAAAAATAAAAATAATTTAAAAAAAAAAAAAATGTCAACACCGCGCAAATAAGAAAATTAATTTTTTTTTTTTGTTTTCGTAAAAATTTAAAATTTAAATTATTATCATTATTATCAACTTCTATATATAAATTTTTTTTTTTGAAGTGTTTCCGGTCTTTTTTTTTTTTTAAAAAACATAAATTACGTCACTACTACTCGGTTCATAAATTTTTGTCCTCTCTTATATTTTATACAGCGTGCTCATTATTATTATTATTATTATTATCGGCATTTTCCGACGTCGTTTTTCTTTTTTTTTACGCACGTACCGATAAGTTTATCGTATTCGAAATTTACCCCCCCCCTCCCCGGAATTAACTAAAAAAAAAAAAAAAAGTTTAAAAACCGAAATTTCGAATTAATTATCACACTTTAAATGTTATTTATTATTATTATTATTATTATTATCATTATTATTTTTTTGTGTGGTCGAGTGGGTGACTAAAAACAAAAGTCGATCGACGACGAATTGATATTTATAGACTATATATAGATTGGGAAAAATCCGAGAGAGAAAAAATAAATTTTATAGACTATAAATTTAACGAGAGTTTAAAATAACAATTTATATTATTATTATTATTATAACGTCAACACCGTGAAAAAAGATGATGACGATTAAGTTAGTCGTAGTAGTAGTTTATAAATAAAATTAATAACTAATGACACGAAAATTATTGATAAAAATGTCGTGAAAAAAAAAAAAATAAAATAAAAAAAAATGAGTAAAAAAAAAAAAAGAATGAATAGAAGTTATAGCGGAGGCATTGATTCCGTCATGGGTGGTGAAAGCATAGATATAGATATTCCAAGCTGTTGCGAACCGCAGGATCTTTATTACGGACAGGCGACAATGCCACCTGGAATAAATCAAACGATGGAATGTAACAATACGATAAAACAACATTATTATCCCGAAGGAGGTTGGGGATGGATAATTATTATATGTGGGATTTTAATACAGATTTTAACACACGGACTTCATTTATCATGGGGAATAATACAAATAGAAATACGAAAAAAATTCCCCGCGCTCGATATCGTCGACGTAGGTGCGTAAAATATATATTTTTTTGTCGTGGCAGCAAGCAAAACGAACAAATCATAAATCCAACGTCGAATCGACGACGGCAAATTTAAAAAAAAATTAAATATATATATTTTAAGTTATTCAAATTAATCAATCAATCAAAAAAATAAAAATAAAAAATTACGTGGCATTAGAAATAAATTTATTATTATCATCATTGGTAAAATAATAAAAAAAATTAAAAAATATGTTTTTTTTTTTTTTTCTCCGGTCATTGAATCAATTCCAAAAAACACGTTCGACCACCAAAAAAAAACAAAAAACGCATTCGAACCCGGTAAATTCGTTAAATTTATAAAATTGACTACGATAATAATAATAATGATAATAATAATGATGATGATGATGATGATGATGATATCGTTTTTTTTTTTTTTTTTTTACGAAGGTAAAAGTGGAAGAAATTTTCGATAATACGCAAGAATTCTTTTCGTCTTATTTATTTAATAATAATAAAAATAATAATTTTAAAACGTGACGTGGAAAAAAAAATAAAAACGAAAAATCTAATGCCACGTTTTTTAAATTTTTTTTATATAAAATGAAAGTTTTTGTAAAAAATTTTTTTTAAAAACATTTTTCAACTGACCATTACTTATACATTTGTTATAGTATTTACTACCCTCTTCCCTTAAATAATTTTTCAACCCTTTTTACGACATCGGCGTCGTCGTCGGCGGCGTCGACGTCGGTGGCGGATAGTTAAATCTTTCTTTCATATCCACCACCATGTAATATTTTTTGGCTTTTTACCATTTTAAACACTTTTTCAAACGCCCCCCCCCAAAAAAAAAAAAAAACGTTTCGATTTTAAAAATGAAAAGGGTGTAAAAGTTTTTAATTTATTATTTTAAAAAAAAAAATACCAGGAAAACTACCACTATCATCAGTGTTGCCACCATAATCGACGGGTAAAATTTTAAAGTAATATATCATCAAATAAAAAATGGTCGCGCCAAAAAAAAAAAAAAATAGCTGTAAAAGCAATTTTTTTCTTTTTTTTTTTGCATGCCAATATCGACCTTTTAAACTTTCAATAACAAAAATAAAAAAATTCGGAAGGAATGTGGGGGGGATGAAAAAGAAAAAAAGGAAAAATACTGGAAGGGGAGCCAGAGAGAGAGAGAGACGAGGAGAGAGAAAATCTTTTTAAAAAAATTCTTTTTTCGCGCAAATTGAGAAAAGTAAGTAACAAAATTATTATAATTTATTTTAATTACGTAATAAATTTGAAAAGTGACGTCACATCATCGCTGCCTCCTGGATAGTTAAATATAAATGCCATAAATATTAATAAAATTTGATTTCGTCGAAACTTGAACTTAAAGGAAAATTATAAATTTATTTATTAATTATTGATTATGAAAAATTATACGTCATATTTTTTAAGAACAACAAACAACAACAAACAACTTCATCCATATATTGTTTGTTTTTTTTGTTCACGTTTATGGTAAAAAGTAAAAGGGGGGGAGGAGGAGATATTATTAATGATAATAAAAAAAAATTTTTTTTTAAAAGGAAATAAATCTGGACGCCGTCAAAAAGTTCTCTTTTTGACGCCGATTTTAAAAGTTTTTTTTTTTTTTTAAATCGAAAAACTCCCGGTTGGAAGTTGAAAAAAAAAAAAGTTTTTTAAAAAAATCCCTCCCCCCTCTCCGATCTCCCCGGAAGAAATCATATTTGGAAAAAAAATATTCTACAACTTTTTTTTTGTGTTTTGTTTTTCACGTCTTTCCCCCCAACTCGTATTTCAATCAAATAAAGTTTTATACACGAGTTTGTTTTGTTTTGTTTTGATTTTGACGACAGGGAAAAAAGGGAAAAAATTTCCCTGTTAATTTTTTTAACTCGTCAACGGATCACAGAAAAAAACCGTTACACGTTTCAAGTTTACACGTTTAAACGTTTTTAAACGGTTTATATTCAAAAAAAAATTATAACCGAACAAATCAGTGTTACCAAAACACGAAAAAAAACTATTAATATTAATTTACTGAAGAAATATTTTCCGAGAATTTATTTATTAATATCTTTTAATAAATTATTTTAGAAAAAAAAAACCCCTGACGACGATCAATTTAAAAATTCTTTTTATTTAATATTAATTTTTTTTTTTTTTTTTTTTTTCCTGGAAAAACTGGAATTGAAATTGAATTTTGAAATTTCGACATTCGCATTCGTTTTTTTCAAAATTTTTTAAAAATTTATTAAAAAAAAAAAAATTTAATATCATTCTTCCCTTTCCCCTCTCATCTCTCATTTTTTTTTTCCAAAAATTCAAATTTAATTTTCGATACTTCCGACATAATCAAATTTTATCATCATTTGATAAAAATCTTCCGGATAAAATTCTGTCGGAAAAAAAATAAATAATTACTTATCAATTTTATAATTAATAAATATTTATTAATTAACGCCCCTTCCACCCCCCATTTTTTTAACGAATAAATAATCGCGAATATTTATACGTGCATCACTAAACAATACACAAAATTTTTTTTTTTAATAATTTTTGAATTTGTAAAATTGATAATAATAAAATTCCGTTATTGATATGAACCCAAAATTCCGAGAAGGTGGGGAAAGAGGAAAAAATTTCCCCGATCCGTTCGTTTTGGCTCCAAATTTTATTTTGATAATAAAAAAAAATTTGCCAAGAAAATTTTTTTTTTTTGTCATTTTACAAAACCATTATTTTTCTTATTTATCGATTCGAAAACGTTTGTTTAACGTTTAACGACATTTTTATAATAATAATTATTATTATTTTTGTAATAAGGGTTAATTTACTGATTGTAGGTTTTTTTAGGGCTTTTCTTAAGTGTTCGTCGCGTGAACAATTATTGTGACGTCATAGGTTATAACAAGACGAAAACTACCCATCAGGAATGCAGCATTCCTGGTACTCCGACATTTATTCTTTAGGAATCGCGTAAAAAAGTTAAAAAAGCTCCGAAAAACATTAAGACGAATCCTCGCGATTATGAGCGAAAATAATAATAATAATAATAATTAACTCGATATTGTCAAACGTTTTTATTTTGCAAGAAAAAAAATTTTTTTAATGATAAACTAAGTGATATAAATTCCAGTTAATTCGCGGCGGCAACGGTGGCGGCTGCTTGTACACAATAACAATGGCGGTTATTAATTTTTTTTTTTTATTACGAAAATAATTAAGTAATAAATAAACAGGGTATAATGTTGTTCAGTTGATTTAATAAAACGGGTATGGATAAGGAGAGAAGAGAAGAGGGGGGGAGTAATGAAAAATTAATTTTTAAATTTCTAAAAAAAAAAAAAGAAAAGTTAATTACGGGTAATTATCGGCGAGATTTTTTTTTTTGGGTGTGCAAAAAAATTTTTGAATAATAAAAATATTATTTATTACTTTAATTTTCTACATTGTAATTAAAAATAATAATAATTATTATTATTATTTATTATTATTATTATCATTATTGCAAAATTTTTCTCGTTTTAATTTTTTGGTTATTGATTTATTTAAAAAAAAAAAACTGAATTGAAAGGTTGCATTGAAAAAATTGAATATGTGATTCATAGAGTAAATAAAAAATTACCATCTCTCGTTTCCCGCCAAAAAATAAAAAAATTAAAATTTTTGTCTTTTTTTAAAATATCCCTCTGGCTCCCATTTTTAAACTTATTTCTTTTCCTGTTTTTTTTTTTTTTTTTTTTTTTAAATTATTATAATACATAAGTGATATTTACGTATTATTATTTTTTAATCGAGGAGCAACCTGAGGGAGACAGGGAGGTGGGAGGGGGGAATTTAATCCGGATAAAATGTCAAAACGTACCCGATATTACGCATATCATTTAATAATTCATTTTTTTTTTTTTTCGAACTCGTTTTTTATAATTTATTTTCATGTAATTATTTTACGTGGAACACATATTGAGGGGATCCTGTATTTATTCGGTTCCCCGTTGCCAACAAAAGAAGGTTTTTTTTTTTTTTATCTGATGGTAACACCCACCAAGTAAAATTTAAATGCCACACAATGGGTGGTTTTCATTTTTTTTTTTTTTTTTTGTTAAATTCTCACGTCATTCTACTTGTAGATCTAATTGAAAAAAAATAATAATAAAACTTGTTTTTTTTTTTTTTTCTAATTCTATTAACTAAGTAAAAATAATTTTTTTTTGTTTAAAGGATGGCTGGGTGCTTTATCGACAGCAGTTGCACTTTTTTTATCACCCATAACGATTGCTTTCTGCAGAAGAAAATCAACTCGTGTGACGGCTGTCGTTGGTGGATTAATAACTTCCTTGGGGTGCCTTTTCACTTCATTTGCTTCCCAATTTCATCAACTTTTTTTTAGCTACGGCACTGTTATAGGTAAAACACAATAGGAAATTTTTTTTTTTTTTCTATTTTTTTTTTTTATGTTAAAAATGTAAAAATTGATTTTAATAGGTGTGGGAGTGAGTTTGACAAGAGACTGTTCGACACTTATGGTCGCACAATATTTTAAAAGAAGACGAGAATTAGTTGAAATATTTATTGTATCCGGAAGTGGCCTTGGAATATCCATCATGTCAACATGCATTCAAGGTGCCATAAAGTAAGTCTGCCTGTTTCCGTCACATTTTTTTTTTTTTTCTAATGCAACATCGGAGAAAATTTTATTTTTATGGCTTTTTTTTTTTATTTACTACCATTTAATTATTCTTTTTATAAAAAAATAAAAAATAAAAAAAAAAAAAAACAATTTCAATTTCAATTTTTATTGAAAAAAATATCATAGGAAAAAAAAATTATGTAAAGAATTTTTTTTCTTATAAAGTAAATAATGCGGGAAAAATTAATTTCGACGGGGAAATTTGTCATTGAAAATTGATTTTAACAAAAAGTTTTAATAGGGGAAAATTTTTTTTTTCGAAAGAGAAATCGGTGAAGGGAAAATGTCGCCTTAAATAAAATGTTGCAAGGAAAGAATCTTTCCAAAAGGAAAATCCCTGCAGGGAAATTTTCCTAAGAAATTTGATAATTAAATTAAAAGTTTTTGCAGGGAAAATTTTTTTTGTAAAAAGGAATCGATGCAGGGAAAAACGTATTTTGAAATAAAAACGATGGAGGGAAAATTTGTTTTCAAAACAAAAATTAATGCAGGGAAAATTTCCTTTGAAAAACAAGGCTTTGCAGGGAAAAATTTTTTTTTCAAAAGAGAAATCAATGCAGGGAAAATGTCACTTGAAATAAAATGTTGCAGGGAAAATTTTTCAAAGAAATTTGATAATTAAATTAAAAGTTTTTGTAGGGAAACTTTTTTTTGTAAAGAGAATTCGATGCAGGGAAAAACGTATTTTGAAATAAAATAAAAAAAAAAAAAACGATGGAGGGAAAATTTGTTTTCGAAACAAAAATTAATGCAAAGCAAATTTCATTTTAAAAAAAAGCTGTGAAGGAAAAAAAATTTTTTACAAAAAGAAATCTATATAGGGGGAAATTTTTCTTTAAACAGAAATAGATGCAGGGAAAATTTCATATGAAAGAAAAACAATGCAGGGAAAATTTTAATTGAAAAAAAAACAATGCAAGGAAAATTTCATTTGAAAAAAAAGCTGAAGGGAAGAGAAAAAGTGAAAGAAAAAAATTTTTCTGTAAAGAAAAATCGATGCATGGAAATTTTATTTGAAAGAAATACTAAGCAGGGAAAATTTCATATTATAGAAAAACAATGCAGAGAAAAATTTTTCTTTAAAGAGAAATTGATGCATGAAAAATTTTATTTAAAAAAAAACAATGAAGGGGAAATATCATTTTAAAAAAAACCGATGCAGGGAAAATTTCATGTGAAATAAAAACAAAGCAGGGAAAATATCATTTGTAAGAGAAATTTCTGCAGAGAAAATTTCATATGAAATCGAAACAATGCAGGGAAAAATGTCATTTGATAGGGAAATTTCTGCAGGGAAAATGTCATTTGAAAGGGAAATCAGGGAAAATTTCATTTGTAAGGGAAATTTCTGCAGGGAAACACGTAGTTTAAAGAATTATGTGACAGTAAGATTTTGGTTTTTCCAGATAACGTTAGAATTAAAACATTTTTTGCGGTAAGTTTTTTTTTTTTTTTTAATAATTTTAAATTGATTTTAAATTTATTTTGTATAATAAATAAATAAATACAATAAAATTTAATGGGATTTAAAAACAAAAAACAATCCCTTTTTTTAAAAAATTTTAAATTTAAATTTTAAAAAAAAATATATAAGCATAAAATTTTTTTTTTCTTAACGCGAACATGTGAAATTAATTGTTTTATATTATTTTCCATAACATAAAAAAAAAATTTACATTTTTTTTTTTTTTTTTTTTTTTAATATTTGTTGATGATGATCATTTAATAAAAAAAATATTATCGTCGTAAAAAAAAAGGCGGGAACATTTTTTAAAAAAAAAAAAAAGCAATTTTATCTCGCGGTTTTATTCCCCCCAAAAAGGAGCGAGGAAGGGAAGGAAAAAGGAAAAAAAAAATTTATTAACTCTTTATATTGTTTTAACAAACGTTTGTTAATTCCTCGACAAAAAAAAAAATATTTTTTAATGGATTATTAAAAATAATAATAATAATAATTTTTTAAGTTGAAAATTTTCCGTTTTGTTATATTTTCATTTTTTTTTTTTTTTTTATATAAATTTAATAATTTTGTCATTTTTCAACAAATTTTTTTTTCTTTTCCACTGACAGAAAAATTTCCTACAAAAACAAAAAAAAAAAAATTTTCTTTTTCTTCTGGACAAAAGAAAACAAAAAAATTTTGGCACGATTCATGATGGTATTTAAGAAATAAACAATTTTTTTTTTTTTTTTCTTAAAAATATTATAAACAAAAAAAAAAAAACAGGAAAC